GGGGTCCCCGGCACGGCAAACGCCCACGCAAAGGGGTGCTGTTCATGGCCACCACTCCCCGGTGGGCTGTCACCTCTAGATCCCTTTGCCCACGCTGGCAGAACCTGCTCCGAGCTTGGTGACAGCCTGGGGTCTGCTTGCAGGTGGCCAGCTGGTGGCTACTGAGTCCTGCCGGGGGCCACGAGCCACGGGGAGCGCCAGTGGGGGCAGGTACTCGCTGCCGTACCTTTGTAGTAGAAGAGGCAGCGATCCACCAGCACGAACCAGCGCTTGTTCCACTGCTTCACCCCCGAGCTGGCCTGCGAGAGAGGTGGCGTGAGAGCCAGGCGGCTGGGAAGGGGATGGCACAGCCCCCGGGGGGGCAGGGGGGGTCCCCCGCATGGCGGGGGCTCGGGTACCTGCTTGTAGAGCCAGCCGCTTTTGGTCACGGCGGCGTTGGGGTTCCTCTTCATGGAATTGGAGCGCTTCCCGAAGGCGATGCCCTTGCGGGAGGAGCGTGAAGCCTGCAGAGGGGTAGAGGAGCCACTCAGTCTCTGGGGGGATCCCCGGTAACCCCCCGTCTCCACTGCCGCCTGCCGTGCCGCATGGCTGTGGGCACCCACCCGTCCTCCGGGGCGCTCCGAGGGCACCTCCGACACCATGGCGTGGTTGGAGGGCTCGCTGGTGATGGTCGCCGGTCGCTTGCCACCCGCTTTGCTTGACATGTCCAAGGTTGGTCTGCGGCACAGGAGGAGAGCTGAGTCAGCAGATCTGCATTTCTCCACCCCACAGAAGCTGTCCCCGGGCATCCCCACCCCAGGCACCGGACCCCCACGCTCCAGCCCACTTTGGTCCCCCATCACAACCCACTCCCGGGCCCCAAAACCGGAGGAGTCAGGAGCCAACCTACTTTTGCAAGTCAAGTCTTGAGTTGTCCTCGGGGACCTGTCCCGTCACTGGGTGCAGGAACGTGTTCCGCCTTTCATTGTGGCTGCAAGAGACAGTGGCAGGACGGTGGTTAGCATCTCTCGGCCCCAGCCCCTTCCCAAAATCCCTTTGCCTTTAGCACATTTGCTGCTCCGACCCCAGCGCTTCGCTGTCCCGCACCGGTGCCGGCGCTGGCTCCCTGCGCCCCGTCCCGAGCATCGCCCTGTCCCGAGCATCGCCCTCCCCTGCGCCCCCGCCAACCCCACGCTTCAGATCGGCTCAGCACATTTCATCGGCATTTCCCAGAAAGTTTTTGCCTCGCTGGGAGCCGAAACGAGGTTTCTGGTGGCCGAGACCTTGCTACTTCTGCTGGATGCATCCCAGTCATTACCAGAAACCCCACTCAGGAGAAGTCGCTGCCGCAGCAGCAGCAATGGCCCACCCTGGGCTGCGCCCGCAGCGACGTCCCCAGCGCCACATCCTCCCCTTCGGCTTGCTGCTTTCAGAGCCGTTTGCCAAAACACCTCCGGTCGGGCTAAGAGCAGGCGATGTGGGGTTGTACACCACACAGACCCCGACCATCAGCCCCGGACCCACCAGCACGAGCTGTTGTGGCTGGATCAGGCCCAGCTCGGCATCGGTGATGTTTCGGCTATGTTGGGGTGCAAAGGTGGTGATGCAGGGCTCCCTGGCAGAGCCGGGAGGAGCGAGGCAGGGCTCCCGTCGGGCTCAGCTGGCAGCATTTGCCATGTCCCTGCCCTGTCCCGCAGAGCCGGTATTGCCGGGCACCCCAAAACCTCGCTGCTCCGGCTGGGGAACCCGCTCACACGCTGCTCCCCGCGGGCTCTCGCTGCCGGAGCTGCGTCAGGAGGGAAGGATGAGGTGCACCCACGGGTTCAGGGCTCCATCCTGGGAAGTTTGCATCGGACATCATCCCCGTGACACCCCTCCTTCCCAAAGCTGCTGGGCACCCACACACACGGTGCCCCCAGCCACCCGCGAAGCCAACATGCCACCAGCCCGGCACGCTGCTGAACTTCTGCGTGTCAGCAAAACAGGGGAAGTTTGAGCAAGAAAACGCCGCTGCCAAGACCATCCCATCCACACACGCTTCACCCCGAACTTGGGCTGCAGCCAGGCTCTGAAGATATTAACTGCTTTCTGCCCAAAAAAGCCTTGCCGAGAGCTGCTCCCCCTCGCAGGTCCCATCCTGCACCCTGCCACGGATCCGCTCTCCTCCGCCAGCCCTCCCCCTCGCTTGGGGTCACCTTAAAAACCCGTGCGATGCGTACGCACCCCGCACCGAGGGGCAGCACTCGCTCCCCAAACGCCCCCAGCACCGGGCTTTTCTGTGCCACGACCGACACGAGCTATCCGCGGAGACAGCCCGCCCGGCCCACGCTCCGACAGCACCAAAGGGGGTTTTTGTCACCCGGGGCTGGAGCTGCTCCCGCACCGTTTGCCCCCGGCAGGTGACTCTGGAGGGGCATAACGCGGCTGTAGGGGGGCAGGTCCCAGGTCCCCCATGATGCTGACACACGGGGGAGGATGCAAACGCCGAGCGAGCAGCACCCCGACCGCCCCAACCCTGGAAAGTGGGGGCTGCCCTGACCCACCAGCGTGTCCAAACCCCAGCTTGGGCTGTCCCCCCCCAACACTGCCCACCCACCC